AACAATGCATTGGTTTTATACAGCTCCTCCAAACACGGTGGTGATAAAATACTTCTGTAGCCACAGCTGCCCTGGGGCATACTGACAGAATCGAGGCAAACAGTCTGTACCCATCACTGCACCAACCAGGCCCTGCCCTGCTTAGCTTCAGAGGTTTAACATGATCTGGCTTTCTCCTGTAGGGGGCGCTTTAATGTTTCAGATTATTGAGGGTTAGGGTTAGGGAAGGAAAAGCAGTTTAGACTCATGGTTCAGAGCCTGGTATATGAGGAGGCTGTGGACTAGAGTTTTGTTGAATATTGAACATTGCGTCTGTTGCATTCACCCTGTTTCTTGTAAATGTTTGGTCTCAGATATTGACCACATACTGTATTGTTTTTCTGTTTGTGCACAAATACAATTTAATAATAACTGTTTCCTACCAGAACTGTATCTTTATTCACAGCATCACAGTGAAATGAGTCATGAAACAATGAGTTTATCCTGTAACTGTCACATAAACCTACGCCTAGAGACACATGTAATGAGATCAAACAGCTCGGTTCGCCAGTGTTTTTGTTCCAAAGAGGAGAAAGTCTCTAGCGTAACTTTACTGCTTTGATATCCCAGGTAACTCCTGTGAGATCGCCATCATGTGGTTGGGTGTGGGATTACAATATTATCTTCAAAACAACACAGAAAGGTAAGCCCGAGTGTACGAGCAACTGTGGTCCATAGGTCCAGCACAACCACCAACGCCTGACGCCTGAGTATACGCAGGCCTTTAGTGTAGTGTGTGTCCACAGAGGTGAGTCTGTGCGCGTGTGTCCGCAGTGGAGAGAGGCTGTGTGTGTGTGTGTATGTGTTTCTGCGTCAAAAGAGGAGAGTGGCAGTGTGTGTACGTGTGTGTGTGTGTGTGTGTCCACAGAGGAGAGAGGCTGTGTGTGTGTGTCCACAGAGAAGAGAGGCAGTGTGTGTGAGTGTGTGTTTGTCCACAGAGGAAAGAGGCTTTGTGTGTGTCCACAGAGGAGAGGAGTGTGTGCAAACATGTGACATCACCCACAGCAGCACTTACATCACCCACACACAACTCTGAGAAACTTTCCCATAAACAGAAAGTATCTGCTTTCCTGAACTTTCTTGAAATGTTTCAGTTAGTGTGTGATAAATGCGTTATTATGTCTATACTATGTTTATTCAAATTAAAGCCGGGATTCCTGACTTTGCTGTTTCATAAATACATGTTTTTGTCCAGCAGAAAATTCTTGTAAATGTAAACGTGGATGTAAAAACTAGTGACAGAAGAAACCATTTTAGAGCCAGAAACAGGAGACATGGATTTTATTACATAGTTTAGGAAGATTCATCTTGTCTTCTTAGTAGAATTAAAGGAATCGTTTCTTCTATACCAGACAATATAAGGTTTTGTGATGTTATTACCTTAACATGTTGAAGTTATCTGTCAAAACATGTTAAAGTAATAACATCACAAAACCTTCTATTGTCTGGTATAGAAAAATGTATTTAATGAATTATCTACCAGAAAACAATCCAAACAATCCAAAGGTTAAATTAAAGTCATTCTGCTTTAAAGGAATAGTTCACCGTTTTTACATACTGACATATGTTCTTACCTTACCTTAGACTAGTTAATACGTACCTGTCTGGTCCTAGTCCGTGCGCTCTGTCATGCAAACGGAGCAAAAACGGGAGCACAACCGCAGCCTCCTCTGGTCACTGTATAGTACCCAAAAGGTAGCTCCCGCTAGAAGCTACCAAACTCTTCCAAGTGTTCCCTATTAAATGTATATAGTTACGTGACGTGTTACACTGCAAAGTATAGTAACACAGAAATGTAACAGTCGATTTTCTCAGCGGATAAAACGGGTACTATATTGTGAGGCGTAGTAATCTGAGGTGCGCTACGTCCGCGCACTAACTTCTCTCCGGAGACTTCTCTCTCGCTCACTTCCGTCAATAGAAGCAGCGTGACTTGTAGTACACACAGTAGCAGCGAGAGAGAAGTCTCCGGAGAGAAGTTAGTGCGCGGACGTAGCGCTCCTAACTTCTCTGCGCACTAACTTCTCTCCGGAGACTTCTCTTTCGCTGCTACTGTGTGTACTACAAGTCACGCTGCTTCTATTGACGGAAGTGAGCGAGAGAGAAGTCTCCGGAGAGAAGTTAGTGCGCGGACGTAGCGCACCTCAGATTACTACGCCTCACAATATAGTACCCGTTTTATCCGCTGAGAAAATCGACTGTTACATTTCTGTGTTACTATACTTTGCAGTGTAACACGTCACGTAACTATATACATTTAATAGGGAACACTTGGAAGAGTTTGGTAGCTTCTAGCGGGAGCTACCTTTTGGGTACTATACAGTGACCAGAGGAGGCTGCGGTTGTGCTCCCGTTTTTGCTCCGTTTGCATGACAGAGCGCACGGACTAAGATCACACAGGTACGTATTAACTAGTCTAAGGTAAGGTAAGAACATATGTCAGTATGTAAAAACGGTGAACTATTCCTTTAAACAATGCATTTTTGGTGACCCACAAATGTTGTATACGGGTTTCCCAACTCCACACATTTACAAATATCCGCAGATGCTTCAAACACTACATATTCTCTAATGTACTATATATGTACTCTACTATACTACTGTACATACAGTATAAGTATACTGCTATAGTAATATAAGTACACTACTACACTTTCGGGCCTGAGAAGCTGGTAGTTGTATAATGCGCAGTGAGTATGACAACCCTGATGTGGAAGAGCAAGGAGCAGGATTATCCGTGCATAAATAAATATATAATAAACTTGCAGAACAAGGTCCAGTTCCATTCTGTAAAAGAAATCCTGGACGCAGACGGTGATCTCAAATTTGAGACATTTTTGACTTATTATTCATCACTTTTTGCACTGCAGGGGTCTGACGGGATCTGGCTGGTAGTGATGGGAAAACCGGTTCTTTCCTCTGATTCGATTCTTTAACTCTCGAACAGTAAATTGAACGAGTCCCGAACGAATCATTTCGTTCATTTGTACAGCAGATGGCGCTGTAGTGGCCCACAATGCAGGACTCATGCCGACGACGTGTTTTCTCCAACTATAAATACTGAAGACAAGATGGTTTGCTTACGGTGACAAAGTATAACACACAAAATGCCATAAGCTATTCAAGCCATTTGAAAACCCAGGAAAGCTAACACACACCACAATAATGTAACTTGTGTCCTGTATCCTCTCTGTTATCATTGTTTAACAGCACGGCAGTCTGGGTAACTGTCACGTGACAGTGAAAACAGACCAATCAGAGAGAAGCAATGTTGCTGGCGCACAGTGTCAGCCTGAGCCAGAGCTGTGAACCGATGAACGATGAACGAGAAAGACCCGGTCAGCCCGCGAGTCATGTGACAAATGAACGATTTGAACGAGAACAAGTACTGCTCTGCTCCACAGCCTAAGCAGACAGAGACCCTTTCGGCCGAGCAGTCGATCACATGACAGCTGGGGAGAGGACAGCGAATGTAAAACTAATTTTGACAATTAATGATACAATTAAAACAAAAAATAATAGTTGATGAGTTGCCTATGTTTACATGGTGCATTTATTGTGTCCAAAAAGTGACATTATTATTATTACTATTATTGTTATTTTTATTGTGTTTGTTGTTATCATTGTTATGTTTTATTATTTTGTGGCAGAGTATAACACAATAAATATGCTGATATAATTTTCTAAAGTATTTATTTACAAACACATTCATTATATAGGCTATACAATAACACAACAAGGACTGAAGACCACTATAATTATGATTTCGTGAATAAATAATCTATATCGGGTGTCACATGACAAATAAACTGTAGATATCAGACATCAATCATTTCCTTGTTCAGCTCTCAGTCAACAGTCCCCCAGCCCCGTAGCTGTCTGAGCCAGCCACAGCTGTCACGTGACGAATGAACGAAAGAGCAATCCGTCAGGATCCGTATGAACGAATCGTGAAGGAACTGCGGTGCTTGCTGCTCACAGACAGCCTGTCTGTCACGTGACTAAAGAACTGGGACCTGAGAATGGATCCAGCTGAGTGAGTGGTGAACGAATCATTTCTGTTTCCTGTCTGCTGCTGACTGAGCTCATGCAGCTGCCGCCATGTGGCGAGAGAAGGTACTGCATGAAAATGAACGAATCGCTCCCTGAGAAGACTCGTTACTCCCGAGTCATATAAAAGATTAGTTCATTTTGAACGAATCGTTCACGAACGATACAACACTACTGGCTGGGAACTTTCACAAATCAAATGTAACACAAGATAAAAGTGATATGGAGTTTGTATGTTTATAAATCTTTAATAATAGTACATATATATTTTATAGCACTTTTAAAAAAACATTACATAGCGCTGCACAGTCAGTATAAAGCAGTAAAAACAGTAGAAACAGTCCATAAAACGGTCAGATCAAAAAGAAAGCGGTATAAGACGGACAGACAACCACATAGAGATTAAACGAGCCTTATCTCCTCGAGCGATTCGTTCCAAAGCCGAGGAGCACGGATGATACAGATGATCAAAAATCATTATAATGTTAAAAATATATAATATATAATTGTAATTATTAGTGCAGTTCATTCCTGAGTTCATAAAGGAGTTGAATCCTCACAGAACTAATGGTAATGTTAAAATCTGACGCTAGCTTTATTCTCAACTACTTTTGCTCTTATACTTGCTTCTTTATTATGCCAAAGTTATAGATTTTATACTGGATTCTTTATTATGCTAAAGCAAGAGATTTTTAACCTGCTTCTTAAATATCCTAAAGTTAGACATGTTACACTTGCTTTTTCAATATGCAAAATGTAATCATTATATACTTGATTCTTTGGTGATGCAACATTTCCCCTTAAACTTGTACGTGTATACTTTCTATACTTTGTTTCTTTATCAAGCAAGTAAAAAAATCCATAGCTTTAGCATAACCTAAGCCTTATATACAGATCATCTTTCTGAAGAGTCATCTGAGGTGTTTGGAGATCTCCGTCATCTTAAGTCCGTAAACAAAGGGGTTGCACAGCGGGTGGTACAGAGCGACCTGGAACGTCATGAACAGCTGTAAGGTCTGAGGGAGCTCGGTCTGGATCCTCACCAGCAGCACATCGAAGGTGGAGGTACAGCTAAGGTTAAAGAGGATGAAGAGGTGAGGGAGGCAGGTCTGCGCCGCCTTCCTCCTCACCTCCGGGCCTTTGCCGTGCACAATGATAAAGATCCTGGTGTAGATGAAGCATTCGAAGAGCACAGGGAGAAAGCAGAGAGTGACCAGAACGAGCAGACCGTAAATATTGATGAACCCTAGATGGGCGCAGTGCAGCTTGTATATGGTGCTGTTGCAGATGATCCCGTTGAAAACAAAGGAGCAGATTTTCTTGTTCTGATTCAGAATGGTTGGCACTGACACCAAAGCAGCCGGTAGCACCCAAGCTAACACGATCTGCAAGCTAACCGTGGTCTTCTTCATAACAGTAGCGTAATCGAAAGGCTTGCATATAGCCACGTAGCGGTCGTAGCACATAGCGGTTAGCAGCAGGAACTCAGAGCCAAGCAAAACGTAGAAGCAGAAGTATTGCCAAAGACATGAGGAGTAAGAAACCAGCGGCTTCTCGGACAGAATCTCAAACATCATTTTGGGATAGATGGCCGTGACGTAGAGGATAGAGTTACACAGTAAAGCAGCGATGAAGATGTACATGGGCTCGTGCAGGTTTCGGTGAACACAGATGATGCCCACAATGACACTATTACAGCAGAGGACCACGAGGAAAGCCGTGAGCAGTGTTGGGCATGTTACTTTGAAAAAGTAATTAGTTATAGTTACTAGTTACATCTCCCAAAAAGTAACTGAGTTACTAACGGAGTTACTCCACTATAAAAGTAACTAGTTACCAGTAAAACTAACTATTGCGTTACTTTTTCGTTTTGTTCTGGAACATAATGTGCACTCGACGTGCACATTTTTACCTTTAACCTCAGTGAGTTTAAATAGTGCCAATATTTCCATCTAGAAAAGGCTGTTTTGCTGCTGAAGTCCTGTTCACTCTTCATCTCTCTCTGTGCTGTAAGCACTAAACACCAACACCCGCCACTGTGAATGTGGAAACACCGGTGAAGCACTGACTTCAGCCCAATCAGATGAACATATATATCATAGAAATCAACTGGACCTAGAAAGCGGCTTATTTGTTTGGCTACAGCAGAATATGTTTCATGCCCGCATTGTTTGTTCATACAAAACGCAAAACTAAGAGTTATGGGTCTTACCTTATAAATGACCTGCACAGGCCACTTCGGTTCAGACCAGTTCTGTGTTTAAGTCCAGATAATAGTTTGAGCGTAGATATGTAATCCTCCATTTGTAAATGAGTTTTTAAAAGTAAAACAAAACGCGCGTGTCCTCCATAAACTCCTCTGTTTTGCTAGCTGAAGCCAGGTGCATCCGATTTGATTTGTACCATTTTCTCTGCTCTAGTCCAAAGTAAAATGCGAAATGCCTCATTAACATTTTTCAATAAGTTAGCATTCCTCCAGCGGATTTTCATCTGATCCGCTTAGTTTGGACCATGAATCCTCTCCGCTCCGGTCTGTACCAGTGTAAAACCATGAACCCTGTACTGCAGCAACATCTCAGCAACATCTGATATATTTCTCCATAAATCAGTTAATATAACAATAAAACAAAGCGTCCACACTTTAGATCCACAGCCTCAATCCTGGGTCTAGGGCCTCAGTTCAGGGTCTACAGCCTCAGTCCTGGATCTACAGCCTCAGTCCTGGGTCTACAGCCTCAGTCCTGGATCTACAGCCTCAGTCCTGGGTCTACAGCCTCAGCCCTGGATCTATAGCCTCAGTCCTGGATCTACAGCCTCAGTCCTGGGTCTACAGCCTCAGTCCTGGATCTACAGCCTCAGTCCTGGATCTACAGCCTCAGTCCTGGATCTATAGCCTCAGTCCTGGATCTATAGCCTCAGTCCTGGATCTACAGCCTCAGTAATTCTGCTCCCTATGGACCAATGGCTCTATTTGTTTGTTATTATTTCAATTCCTGTGTTTGAACGCTTTTATTCTCTGATCTGTTGCTGATGAATCAACACATTTGTAAAGTACTCTGAGACAACTGTTCTGATTTGATTCAATTTGATTTCTTCTCAACAAGTATAAATTGAGTTGAACTGAAGAAGCAGACAGGGACCAGATGGGCCTGACGATGAATGTGCATCTGGTCTGTGCGTGTCCGTGTGTGTGTCCGTGTGTGTGTCCAGGTTCCGTACCCAGGTCCATCTCTGCCAACATATTAATGTTAATACGCTAAACTTTACATACACCTCGCTCTTTTTGTTCTCACTCGTCCCCGTCTACTTCCAAGGCGCTCTCTCCTCACCGCCGCACACTCCCACCCACACACACATTACCCACAGAGCTACTGCACTTATGAGAGACAGATCTCACAACAACACTGGATACGTTGGAGTTCTTTTCTCTCTCCCCTTTTTCCAATTGCTTTCAATAAGTTTTGCCTCATCCATCGCAACGTCCTCGATGCTTCAATATGCCGTGCTTTGCATAGATCATAGCCACAGCTCATGCACATCACACACCGCTTCTAAAACAAAGCCTGTTGCAGCCAGTTTAGCCACTATTCCGCTTTACGGACGTCTGACGGGCAGCAGCCTACGCACGTAAACGGAGACGCGCCCGGTGGAGTCCTGGCCTAAGTCTCTACTCAGCACTTTTTATGGCCTGAATTCATACACAAGCTGAATCAATGAGCTCAAGTTTTCAATTAAATTACGGATTTTAAAACAACTTTTATGTAGTAAAACGCATTGTTATGAACTCTTCAGAAAATAAATAGGGTATAGCTTCTTTAAAGCTTGAATCCAGTCAACCTCAGGTGAACAATTCTGCTGTGGACGACTGAACAGGCCTGGTCAAAGTTTGGACACACAGTTAAGACTTTCAAGAACTTCTATTTGTGTTCAAATCCCATGGGCTGTTTGACCTTAGACCTGTTCTATGTGTGTGTGTGTGTGTTTTTCTGTGTACGCAAACCCAGTCATCATTAATCCCTTGATGCGTTGATGCAACTTTCGCTGGGATGTAAAGAAGACATAAATCTGCTACTCCTCGGCTTTTGGCTTCGGTGGTTGGGGGAGAGAGAGAGTGTGTGTGTGAGAGAGAGAGTGTGAGAGACAGAGACAGGAGCTAAGATGCTCCACTCCCAAACCTCACCTCCACCACAGCATTTGAAGCTAACGCAATGATTCCTCACACAAACATGACAACCATCACGATTGATGGTTATGTGGAAGTGGAAAAGTACAGATTTGTGTATTTCTTGTCCATGTTTCTGGTCTATGTTGTGATCCTGTGCAGTAACGGCACCATCGTGTTTCTGATCTGGAAGCATCCAAACCTCCACGAGCCCATGTACTACTTCATTGCTGCTCTGCTCTGTAACTCAATCCTCTTCAGCAGCGTCCTCTACCCCAAGATGATGGTGGACGTGCTGTCTGAGAAGCAGGAGGTGACCATCTCCGCCTGCATGCTCCAATGCTTTCTCTACTACTCTCTAAACAGCTCAGAGTTCATGCTGCTGTCAGTGATGGCGTATGACCGCTACGTGTCCATCCTCAAACCCCTGCGATACACCACCATCATGCAGGACCGCACTGTTCGAGGGTTCTTGGTGCTGGCCTGGGCCCTGCCTGGCGTCCAGATCACACCCCCCACCATATTCGCCATCAGAGCCAAGTTGTGCAACGTGAACTTCAAGGGAATTTACTGCAACAATCTGATTTACAAGATGCACTGCTCGCCGTCCAGACCCATGTATGTTGTGTACGGAATGATAGTGTTTATCAACCTGGCCATCCTGCCCGTGCTGTTCATCGTCTTCACGTACGCCAAGATCTTCGTGATCACGTATCGCAGCAGTGCAGAGGTGCGGAGGAAGGCGGCCGAGACTTGCCTGCCGCATCTGTTTGTGCTGATAAACTTCTCCTGTTTGGTTACGTATGACGTGGTGATGGTGAAGATGGAATTTGACGTGCCCAAGACCGTGAGGCTCATCATGATGCTGCAGGTTGTGTTGTATCATCCACTGGTCAATCCGTTAATATACGGGCTCAAGATGAAGGAAATTAACAAACACCTGAAGAAAATGTTTACAAAGAGAAACAGGAAAATGTTGGTCTGAGAGTTAGGCTAGAATATAGAGATCAAAGAGGGTTATCTCACTTATTTCCCAGGAATGATGCAGGAGGGTCTAAGGACAGGGAAGATCCAGGGAAATTACAAAATTATCCAATAAATGCCAAAAATGAGACCTAATTAATACGTAAATTATCGAGACCGAGGCGAACAGAACCAACCAATATAAATAGGGGATAAGAAAGAAGCCGAGGTATCCATACGATATTGATTCAGAATTAACCCCGTGCCTTTTTGTAACAAGCAGAAAGAGTCTATATGCGACAGTACCCAACATCAGCAAACTTAGTACCTAGAACAATTAGAGAGCCCCATGATCGCTGATTTTATGTACCTGAGAGCTGAGTGACTTTTTTGCTTTAACTTATACAGAAAAAAACTGATCTGAAAGCCGTGAGTACAGATGCCAGTACAGCATGAAACCGGTATAAAAGTCAGAAGCAGTGGATTATTGGAAGCCAACCGGAAATGATAACAGTAATAAGGAAAGACTAATAAAATAAGACCCAGAGTTGATACCAAAAAAAAACTATTCAAAAAATTACAATGAAATTGACTTAAATAGATACCAGTGTAAAGTGCCCACACACATAAATAAAATTTAAAACTTCTTTATTAACTACACATTCATTCCGCACTTAATCTAAAACAAAAGTCACTAACATCATGTTTGGGGCAAACACATTTAACATCATTCCTGCATTTTCCCTTTTGTGCAATACAGTGCCTTGCGAAAGTATTCGGCCCCCTTGAACCTTTCAACATTTCGCCACATTTCAGGCTTCAAACATAAAGATATAAAATTTAAATGTTTTGTCATGAATCAACAACAAGTGGGACACAATCGTGAAGTGGAACGAAATTTATTGGATAATTTAAACTTTTTTAACAAATAAAAAACTGAATAGTGGGGTGTGCAATATTATTCGGCCCCTTTACTTTCAGTGCAGCAAACTCAGTCCAGAAGTTCAGTGAGGATCTTTGAATGATCCAATGTTGTCCTAAATGACTGATGATGATAAATAGAATGCACCTGTGTGTAATCAAGTCTCCGTATAAATGCACCTGCTCTTTGATAGTCTCAGGGTTCTGTTTAAAGCGCAGAGAGAACCATGAAGACAAAGGAACACACCAGGCAGGTCTGAGATACTGTTGTGGAGAAGTTTAAAGCCGGATTTGGATACAAAAAGATTTCCCAAGCTTTAAACATCTCAAGGAGCACTGTGCAAGCAATTATATTGAAATGGAAGG